GGGGACAATAGGTGTATGGAAACACGCCCAGTGTTTCCACCCTTGCCGAGGACTGAACCACGAACACTGTGTGTGAAGCGAGAGCGTTGCCTATCAGGCAACCAGATAAATAGCCAAAGATAACCTATATAAAAGTTAGGCAAAGTGACTTATTTCCTCTGGGGATCCTTGTGATATCTTATAACAATAGCTTCCCCTGCTTCACTCTACCTGATAATTTCAGCATTTCCACTTATTCTTTAATTTATCCTGTTCTATATCCTATTTTAAGTAAATTGTAGACTGTTTTCCAGTATTTTGTTAAGACGGAGTAACATGAAGAGCAAGAAGAGTGAATGTGAGATGAACATTGTAACATTGGGTCTTACTTACCTGAGCTTGTAGACACCTTATTAACGATTTCACTTGAAATGCATGAATCGAAAAATATTCCTAAATATTTCAATGAAGTTAATGTTGAGATAGACGTCTCGTTCTACAATAAAATATTATTTATGATTATTATTCTAGCTTTTGAGGCAAATAGTACGACACAGCTATGTACATTCTTTGGGTCTTTACCAGATGCTTCCCAAGAGAGCACAATCTGCATACAACAGGGATGTTGCACTTAAAACTAATGGTTTGGATTCCGTGTTATTTATTACACAGCGATAAAGTAATGGAATGAGTTACCTGGTAATGTTAGATCTAGTCTACGTATGTAACAAATTAAGAATGCGGCCGATGAATATCAGATGAATAAAACTGGAGAAAGTGAGAATAGTGATGTCTTACATGTTTAAAATAGTCATGATTCCATCTTAATCTAATTCCTCATTTTTGTGTTGATAAATATTCATTTTAAATAATTAAGAATAGAGAATAAGACGGCATCTTTTTGTGCCTATATAAAAATAAAACTATGTAGTACGTATATCTATAATTTAAGAATCACAGTGAAAATAAATCACATTGTGTGAACTGTCTGGGTCATCCTAGATAAAAAATATTCATAATTTACAAGATAAAACCACTGTCGAAGTTCCAAATTATGTACGGGCCCTTAATAAAAAAATATGTATTTACTTACCACCTAAACATTGTAGTATATAACACTACGTGTGCCAATAACATCTATAGTATATGCCCTCGTGGCGATTTAAGGACCTTAATGGAAATGAGACAGACAGTCCTCGATGACAACTTAACTTTACTGGGTTATCCTGGGTTATTAGACCACTGGGTTATCCTGGGTTATTAGACCACTGGGTTATCCTGGGTTATTAGACCACTGGGTTATTCTGGGTTATTAGACCACTGGGTTATCCTGGGTTATTAGACCACTGGGTTATCCTGGGTTATTAGACCACTGGGTTATCCTGGGTTACTAGGCCATTGTAAATTTTTAAACTTATGATTGTAAAACTGTTTGTTGATTGTTGTAATTGAAATCATATAGTACTACTAAGGTAGGCCTAAAACCCAATTCAAGGTAGTCTCTGACAACCCATGAAATGTAATTTTAATTTCTATTCTAGAGATTAAAGTTATTTTGTCTAGTGGTGGAAATGTTACGTACATCTTTTAATGACCTTAGTGTAGTCGATAGATTTAAATCACTTTAACCATCCAACCATCTGACAACAGATGCTGGAGGAGAGGGCGAGGCAGGTGCAGGAGAAGACTGAGAGAGTGCGGCAGCGGCAGGAGGAAGACGCGAGGTGGGCCAGAGTGGTGCGTAGGAACAGGGATGAATTTGAGGAGGACCTGTGGAAGGAACACCTCCACAAGATAAACAAGAGAGAGACACTTAAGAAGGACCTCGACAATTTGTGAGTCTTGGTTACTAGACCACTGGGTTATCCTGGGTTACTAGGACACTGTGTTATCCTGGGTTACTGGGCCACTGTGTTATCCTGGGTTACTAGGTCACTGGGTTATCCTGGGTTACTGGGCCACTGTGTTATCCTGGGTTATTAGGTCACTGGATTATCCTGGGTTACTAGACCACTGGGTTATCCTGGATTACTAGGCCACTGGGTTATCCTGGGTTACTAGGCCACTGGATTATCTTGGGTTACTAGACCACTGGGTTATCCTGGGTTGCTAGGACACTGTTTTATCCTGGGTTACTGGGCCACTGTGTTATCCTGGGTTACTAGGTCACTGGGTTATCCTGGGTTACTAGACCATTGGGTTATCCTGGTTTGCTAGACGACTGGGTTATCCTGGGTTACTAGACCACTGGATTATCTTGGGTTACTAGGCCACTGGGTTATCCTGGGTTACTAGACCACTGGGATTTTCTGGGTTACTAGGCCACTGGGTTATCCTGGGCTACTAGGCCACTGGGTTATCCTGGGTTACTAGACCTGCGAGTTAATAATCCAAACAAAATCTTCATAGTAATAATAATAATAACAATAATTATAATAATAATAATTTGTTAACAAAACCTGAGCGTACAGTGTTGAATCAGGGACTCGTCTTACACGACAGGTTTTCAAAACGACTTCAGAAGGCATCTTCGTCACCCCTTACATGTTCAGTCACTGAAACACCATGATTTTCACGTTGACGAAGATGTCAGGTAAAAATGATATCGTTGTGCAGGTCGCCAAGATATCAGGAGAAAGTCTTCCCTTAATTTTACAATGAAGATTTCGTGAAAAGTTGTATTTTTGTCATGCTGGTAATTACTATTATTATTATTATTATTAGTAGTAGTAGTAGTAGTTGTTGTAGTAGCAGTAGTAGTAGTAGTAGTAGTAGCAGTATTTTAATTTGGAAGTGCTAAATCCTTATGAGTCAATTACAATGTAATTGATCTAAGGATAGAGAGGATAGCTCCAGTTGCTTGCATCAAGAGCCCATCACAGACATCAAGGCACCTCTGCCAAATGAAACCATGCAGACAAATGTGATTTTGACCATGTACACTGTCCTAATTTGTTTTTAACAGATGTAATATAAACTGTATATACATGTCTAGATGTACTCTTGTTCACCCTTTTGGGGCCTAATTTCTAGGCCTTTTGTGTATCCATATGCTATTGTGCTACCGTCCACAGGATGGGTATAAGGTGCACAATAAACTAGCCACTAACCTCCAGGGGATGCATATGGGGCGCAGAATAAACTAGCCACTTAGGGGCAAAATATCTAAATTTAAATCAGATTTTGAGGAGGGATCAGCTAAATAATATATGACGAATACTTGTTTCTCTAAATGTTCCATGCCTTCTGGAGGTGTGCTGAGCGAGAAGCCTCTCGGGAGGAGGAACGAAGACACCTTCAGCGTCTTCGGGAGGAGGTGGAGAACAGCGGGAAAGTGTACCTCCAGTATCACCACCACATCCGTACACAGGTGACTCCTCGCATACAGGTGACTTTCCACACAGGTGATTTTATACACAGGTGACCCAAAACACAACATGTTACTTCAAACACACACACATGTGACCTCTCACACAAACATGTGGCCTCTCTCACACATGTGAAATCACTCACATGTGACCACACATATACAAATGACCTGGCACACAACAGTGCCTTGAAGTGTCACTGATCTTAGTATCAGATACAATTACACAAAACAAGTCAGCTTAATCATCTTCAAAAAAAAATAAACCCAGTCATCACTTAACAAGTCAGTACTGCTACTACTACTATGCTAGTAGTACTTCTTGAGTAGTATAGTAGTAGTAGTACTTCTGGACTTTACCCTGCCTCCCACACCCCACCATGTTCCCTTTATGTATTATCTTAATAGAAGTATTGGAAGGCGAAATGTAACATTAATAAATGTCTTTAGTTGTTCTTGCGCCCTTACATCCAACAATAACATTGTTGTTGGTAACACTTTGTAATTTGTTGTAGAACTTGAATATTCTAGCTGGGTAAAGTTCGGTCTTCTTGTATTTAGTTTACAAAGATGTTCTCTAGAAATACTATCTATAAAGTAACTTTGTGCTATTATGTGGTACAGATGGTACCAGCTGTGAGCCAAAGCTTTCATTTGATTAGTTGATTTGAGTTCTCAAATGTTTGCCCTGTGTTCTCTTTCAGGCTGCTCAGGAGAAGCTGAGGAAGCGAAAGGAGTTCTTGGCAGAGATCGAAGCGGTAAGGGCAAGCCGGCTGCAGGAGGCGCTGAAGGAGGACGAGCAGAGGGAGTCTGAACTCAGGTACTCAGCGGCCAAGCGAGCCTACGCCAGGAAAGTCAAGCAGAGGATACTTGACAAGATGAAGGGAAAGAGGAGCTCAGCAGTAGACGTTCTTGAAAGAGGGAGGAAGGAGGTTCTTGAAGGAGAGAAGAAAGAAGGTTCTTGAAGGAGAGGAAAAAAACTGGAAGAAAAAAGTTCTTTAAGGACGGGGAAAGGGATGAAAAAGATTTTTAAAGGAGGGAAGAAAAAGGTTCTTGAAGGAAGGGTAAGAAGGTTCTTGGAGGGAAGAAATAGGTTCTTGAAGTAAGGAAGTTAATTTAACTTAAGTAAACCTACAGAAAAACATTTTTAGAGAGAAAGAAGGGCGCGAGAGGTGTGGCAAGATGGTCGATCGTAACCAGGAAACGCAAAAATCTGAACGTTCATCACTCGCGGCGCGAGAATGGCTCGCGCAGCGACACTGGCGATGCAAGAGGATAGCGTTTGTAGTACCGTAAGGAAAATATTGTCCCTGGTTCACTCGCATGGTTCACCGACTGACAGTGTGATGCGTCACCCAGGGATCATCCCCACGAGAGGGAGAATTAGTGTAGTACGTAGCTAAGACTTCCATTATCCGCTAGGTTAGTTTAGCCAGGGGCCAGTTTGGTGCCTTATCTGCAGTGGCGCAGACGGGATTTCAATCTACCGGGGAAAAAGATTAAACCGGGATTTCAATCTGCCGGGATTTCAGTCTCAGAAGGGGTTTTAAAATCATTAAAAGCTGAAAAATCAAAGCAATGTTTTTTTAAAAACATATCATTTTCAGTATATATGCGAAATTCCTTAATTTTTTGTATTTTCGTGGTCACTAGTTAATTGAACACGGTGAAAAAATAGTCATAAATTGTAAAGAAGGTATTTGCCTTTGGTTGGCATAAACCTCATTAGCCTCACCTTCTCCCTATGGTTGCGCCACTGCTTATCACCTGGCATTTAAGACTTACTGAGTTAAGAGAATGCCTTGCTCCTTCACTATGGGGAGAGGGAGGGACTGGAGCTTGGCATGAAAGCAAGTCAGAAAGGGTTTTGCCGTGGTGGAAGTGAGGAGACGTGAGACTGTATCCTCTCATTCCTGCTGCAATGAGAGAACCTCCAAAGTATTTTATTAACAAGAATTATATTTTTCATTTGACTGTAAGTAATGTTTCTGCCAGTATAATTTGTATCTGTTTTCTCATTATTATACCTCTGGTATTACATTACTGTTTCTTCCAGTACCTCGTCAAAGTATATAAGTAACAAAGTAACCAGTAACTGTCTAATCCCCTAACTTTTATTAGTGTAATAAATAATTACTTTCATTTACATACTGGTTTATCATTTTCCGCATGATTGTGGCAACGTTTCGCTCTGCATGATGCTCTATTACGCCATGTTTCACTCTGTGTAGAACTTTATCATTGACTTTACAAGGTCAGTCACCCGTCTGATCAACACAAAACTTTCAGTGTTTGTGTATTTTCCTCAACAGAAAGTTCGCATTTGTATTAAGCTGTGTAAGTAACAGTTTTCTAACTTTATTATACAAACTACGATATTGTATTCTGTGTGATAACTGGAGAATGCTACTTCCGATGGACTTCAAACTCTCAACAGTGGTACATCACACTTAACTGAAGATTTAGATTAAGTTTATACTGCACGCGTTCCAATTAACCAGTTTTGTTGAACACATTGTGGTTTTTTCCGTACGATTACTTGAGAATGCATCATTATATCGGTTTTAAACTTTCAACGATGATCTATAAAGAAAGACTTGGAATTTTTTTTAGGTGTTGTAAGTACCAGTTTGTTAATTTTTATAAAAAAGAAAAGTGTCTTGGTTAGTAAGTTTATTCAGGTACAGGTACACATAAATACAGTTACATCAGCTATCATACATAGCAGCATATGTGTACATTATCTAGGATAACCCAAAAAAGTCTGACAAAGTGACTTATTTCCATTGGAGTTCTTGATATTTCCATTGGAGTCCTTGACTTATTTCCATTGGGGTCCTCGATTTATTTCCATTGGATTCATCTCCACAAACTTCTTAACTACTTCCATTATGCCCTAGAATCTGTACTGATAAAGCCACATGAACGGTATTGTATACAATTTACCTACAACGATGTAGTTGATCATCAGGTCCTAAACCTTTTGGGAGGGTTTAGTTTTTGTTTCTGGGTGTCTTGAGCTGCAGCTCCTCTGCCTCTTGTGGTACAGTTGCTGGGCCTCTTTCGTGGGATGACGTGCAGGAGGCTGGGGTTATGAGACACGGGGATACCTCTTTCATCAGAGGTACTTGGGGACAACTAGAGAGAGGATACATACTCAGATTGTCATCATTGTTATAACTTCATCGCCCAGCAACTGTGAAATATTTTTTTGATTTATTAATTAATGTCACTCTTAACTAGAGAGAGATGGTAGGGTTTTCTAGAGTGGGAAGGTGACGGAAGAAGAGGTGACGTGAGAGGGGCGACAGGAGAGGGGGGCGTGGTCGTTTTGGTGGCCCGGGTGAGAGAGGGGTTTGGGCATGCTAAGGGGGGGATATATGAGGGGAAGTAGAGGTTGGGGCGGATGAGGGATCAGGTGGAGGGGGTGGTGTAGCAAGGCCAGGGAAGGAGTCAGTGTGTTGTCAACCGCCGGTGAGGTGAAGTGTACAGACCGCGTGTTCCCTTGCTGTCAGTGAGGCGTCTCTCTCAGTGAGTGTAGGTGGGGCCAAGTGGTAACTAGGTGGTGGTGGTGACTGTGGTACCTAGGGAACAGGTAGAGAGAGAGTATACCACACACAAACGACTGCTGTAGCTCGTAACACTCAGAGATACTTGGGGACAACTAGAGAGAGGTTCTATACACACAGGTCTCTAGTAACTGAAGACAAGCAAAGAAAGAAAGGAATACAACATACAGGTCTGTATCATCTGAGGACCACCACAGAGAGAGTATACACACTCAGGATTGACATCATCAAGGATACCCCCACACAGGACTGACATCATCGCCGTAACTTCAGTCAACAACTACATACATCGTTTATAATGGGTAAGAAACGTTTGTTTACATTTTTGGTAGTCAAACACTTTTATCGATAATTTCCTTCCAAGGCAGGTCGGGGATGGGTCTTCAGGCCGGTAAATCCCTCTTAATTCTACAAATTGGAGCTGCCTTTACCTTATGCGGATCAAACCCGACTACATTTTATTCCCAAGGATTTATTAATGCTTACTTGCTCATCGCTTCCCCATGAATTTAACGAAAATCCTTTTTTTCCATCGTTCGAATAACATCTACAATGATTACAAGACTTATTCTCAATAGTTATAGAACCTACTAAACTTTTCTAGCATCATCTAATCTAGTAAGATGTAGGGATAGCCGGGATGCAGCTAGTGCACAGGGGGTATCTACCCTCTGTATCATTGTTGATGGTATATAATACTGACAAGTTGTGCAGCATGTATACTTTGTGAGAGGTACAGACTGCAACTCCGTGTTTGTGAAGATGTAAGCGAGTACCATGTGACCACAATTTCTGCCTGTGAAGAAACGTTTCTCCTGTACAACAGGCGAAATACAATTAACACAGGCTCCTGTGTTGCAGTCATCTGTATTCGGTGTGTACTATGAGATCGTCTGCTATCTGTACGTTCAATGTACATGTTTTTTGATGTGTCTGTTATTTTGACATGAAATGAAGCTAGAAGTTTGCTGGAGCTTGTTGGTCTGATGATGGGGCGTTACCTCGGTAGGGTGAGAGGTATGAGCGAGTATTCTTACACTATGTAATATATATTCTGACATGAGAGGAGGTTAGAAGTTTGTGTTAGAGCTGTGTGACTGTGATTAGCACAGGCAGCAGCAGGCAGTGACACGCCCCTACCGGCGAGAGGGTATAAATAACAGTGAGTCTGGGCGTGGGTGAGCTAGTGTACCGGTGTGTGTCTCTCTCTCCTCCCCTTCCCCCTCGTAGTAGACTTCTCCCTCCCGTTTTTCCCCTCTTCTCCCCCTCTACTCCCATCTCCTCCCCTTGTCCTACCTACCCGACCACCCTCCCCTTCCGTCGTTGTCCACTCCCTCTCTTCCCCTCTCCCTCATCGACTTCGTTAGTCTCCCCACCACCACCACCTCCCCCACCCGGCCCTTCACCTCCCTCTCCCTGGGACTAGTGGGAAGAGCTACCTAACCTGCCCCCCTCAACAGCTGTTGCCCTCGGCTCCCCTTCCATATCACTCGCCCCCCTCCCCAAAGGGGTGCATATTATTTTGGTCTGTCTCTGTTCACTTATATATATATATATATATTATATATATATATATATATATATATATATATATATATATATATATATATATATTATATATATATATATCGTGCCGAATAGGTAAAACTTGCGATTTTTGCCTTAAATAGCAACGCTCTTCTTGCCGAATAACGCAAGCGATAATTTGTGTATGCAATAATTTCGCAAAAATCATTCTGAACCTAATGAAAAAAAATATTTTTGTGTATGAGAGAAAATTTTAGAAAGAACTTAATTTTAAATGAGTTCTTGCTAATTGACCAGTTTTACCTATTCGGCACGACATATATATATATATATATATATATATATATATATATATATATATATATATATATATATATATATATATATATATATATATATATATATATATAAAACACTGCACTAGCCAAGGATTCGAACCCATGTTGTACTAGCCCACCATTGTGAGCGAGACCACATGACGCCTTAACCCACAGGACCACCCATTAGCTTTCAAGCTAATTTCATTAGCTTGAAAGCTCCCGCACCTCAGTATGTCCTCGGACCAAGAGTAACACACCTAGCTTGACTGGGTGCTTGGTTCTTGTAGGATTGGGTGGTCCTGTGGGTTAAGGCGTCATGAGGTTCTCGCTCACAATGGCGGGCTAGTACAACATGGGTTCGAATCCTTGGCTACCTACCTGGAGGTTATTCCGGAGATCAACGCCCCCGCGGCCCGGTCCACGACCAGGCTTTTATATATATATATATATATATATATATTATATATATATATATATATATATATATATATATATATATATATATATATATATATATTCATCAATCTTGTGTTGGATTACCTGTAGTTGTTTCAGGGGGTCACCGCCTCCACGTCCCGGTCCCAGACCAGGCCTCCTGGTTGCTGGCCTGATCGATCAGGCTGTTAGTACCCGCCGCCGTACACAGTCCAACATAGGCACCACAGCCTGGCTGCTCGCGGAATTTATCGGGTTCACTGTTAGAGACAGCCAGGGATTTGCTGGTAATATTCCTTATTCATGACGACATTCAAAATAGAAGAGCAAATACTGTGAATGCCTTGCAAGTCATATTTAATTTTTAGGTGAGCTCTTTTTTTCAATCGCATTTACAAAAAAATCTCACTGTACTGAGGAAATTTATTAAAGAACTTACTGTAGTAGAGGGAAATGACTTCAGATTATCCCCGAAGGGTTACAAATCCACGATAACCCAAGAAATCCAGGAAGTGTGGCTTATTTCTGTGTGGGTCAGTTAAGTTTATTCAGGTACAGGTGCACATAAATACAGTAACATTAATTATTATATATATATATATATATATATCAGTATATGAGTAGATTATGTTGAGTAACCCATGTAACTTATTTCCATTTGGGTCCTTGAAAGATTGATGCCACAGCATCAGTTTTCCAAGGACCCATCCAAGTACTAACCAAGGACCCATCCAAGTACTAACCAAGGACCCATCCAAGTACTAACCAAGGACCCATCCAAGTACTAACCAAGCCCATCAAGTACAACAAGGACCCATCCAAGTACTAACCAAGGACCCATCCAAGTACTAACCAAGGACCCATCCAAGTACTAACCAAGGACCCATCCAAGTACTAACCAAGGACCCATCCAAGTAATAACCAAACCAAACGTTGGTTAACTTTGCTAATCGTACGAGAAATTGTGTGTTCAACGTGGTATAGCCATTAACAAATTCTGCACTGGCCCGTATGATTCTTTTTTCCCCTCCCTCCAGGATGCGACCCACAACAATAGACTAACACCCTGGTACCTATTTGATGAAATTAAGACACATGTGCAACATCTGGGTGCCTTTATTGTAGACGTTTCGCCATCCAGTGGCTTTATCAGTACAAATTCCAGGACATGGTTATGTACATGTCCTCAGAATCAAGATTCCATGATGTTGCAGTGTCTGACAAGTTGTGCAAGAATGGTATATAATACCGAC